CGCCCCCTGGCACCCACTGCCTCCTCCACCACGTCTGTGGGGAGAGAGCCCCACGGTGCCTTAACGAGGTGGCTAACGAGGGCGGGGGCCAGGGCCCCCAACCCATTGACCAAACCACCAACAAGCTCCTGGGTTGGTTGACCCCCAACCACTCAACCAGCTTTGACCTAATCCAACCAACTAGTCAAGCAACCAACCAGTTAATCAACTGGCCAACCAAGCTGTCCGTCAACTCACCAGCCAATCACACGACGACTCCAGCATCTAACCAGTCACCCCATCATCCAACTAATCAGGCAACAGGCAACCAGCTAACCAGTCGACCACCCTTGGACTGGTTAACCAACTGGCAATCCAGCCCTGTGTCCAACCAACCATCCCACCTCCCAACCAGCTCAATAGTCAACCAGCTAACCGACCAGTGTCACAACCAGCCCTTCATCTGGTCAACCAGTGTCCAACCAGCCAACCTCCTCGTTATCTAACCAACCTGCCCGTCACCCAGTCAACCTCCCCCTCATCTAACCAACCACCCCATCACCCAACCAATGATCCCATCACCCACCCTGTGACCCCTTCACCCAACCAACCACCCCTTCACCCAACCAACCACCCCATCACCCAACCAATGACCCCTTCACCCAATCAACCACCCCATCACCCAACCAATGACCCCTTCACCCAATCAACCACCTCATCACCCCATCCATCACCACCCCATCACCCAGCCAATGACCCCGTCACCCAACCAACCACCCCATCACCCAACCAACCACCCCATCACTCAATAAACCACCCCATCACCCAACCAACCACCCCTTCACCCAACCAACCACCCCATCCCCCAACCACCCAACCCAAGAACCGATCTGTTGGAGGAGGATGCCAAGGCCCATGTAGGTCTGGAGGCCACCTGACACAGTTGGACTCACCTGAGAGGAAGGTGATCTCACTGAAGAGCATCCACTCCGCGGCGAAGAAGAAGTGACACTGGATGAAGCGGGCCTGACGCCCGCCCAGAGGCACGGTGACCGAGCGGGCGCTGGGGTCCTTGACGCCCCCAGCCAGGCTGTGGGTGACCGAGGTGGGCTCCCAGGCTGTGGCCAGGCTCCTCTTGAAGCGACACTCCACCTCCCCGAAGATACTCACCCCCCGGGTGTGCATGTTGTTGCAGTGGACCTGGGGTGGGGGGACAGGGACACATGGGTTGGCCACCATCCCATGATGCCCTGGGGCAGCTGGCGGGTGGGTCCCCAGCGGGAAGTTCCAGACCCTAAGGCAGGGTTGATGTGGTGGCCCCTCATGGGTCATCCCTGGGGGGTCACGCCGCGGAGCACCTGCATGGCGCGGAAGGCTCGGAGCCCCTCAAACTCGAACTCCAGCTCCACGTGGGGTCGGGGGCCCGGGGGGCGGTGCCATCCCACGTAGTCATAGCCCGGCCAAAGACGTCGCTCGCGGCTCCTCAGGAAGTCGTCCAATCCCAGCACCCCGTCACCCAGCTGGCCCAGCCCCCCAAACTGCAGCCTGGGAGGGTGGGGGGACACCAGGACGCCTGGATCCACCCATCCCATCCACCTGGGAACCCCCCATGGGGCAGCCTTGGGGGTCAAGGGGCTCCCAGACGCCTGGGTCCACCCATCCCACCCACCTGGGAACCTACCAGTGACACCCACAGGGTCAAGGGTTCCTCAGGAAGTCTGGGTCCCCTCATCCCACACACCTGGGACCTCCCTCTGTGGGATCTAGCACACAACTGTGGGGCAATCGGGGTGGTTTTGGGGACAGTTGGGGACGTTGGGGTCAACCTGGGGCCAACTGGGGCCAACTTGGGGCCAACTGAGCCAACCTGGGGACAGTCTCAGGCTCTTCTGGGACAGTAGATGACAGCTTGGGGCTGTGTGGGGCCAGCAGGTGACAATTTGGGGACAGTTTGGGGCTGTGTGGGGCCAGCAGGGAACAACTGGGACCATTAAGAGCCAGTGGTTGACCATCTGGGGTCACTTTGGGGTCATCTAGGGCCAGCGGTGGATGATTTGGGACAATATGGGGACAGTCAGGGCCTGTTTGGAGATGTTTGGGACAGTTGGGAGTGGCCATAGGTAGTTTGGAGACACTTGGGGACAGTTTGGGGGCAGTTGGGGATATCTGGGGACAGTTTGGGAACACTTGGAGATAGTTTTGGGGGACACTTGGTGGTGGCCAAGACTGGTTGGGGACACCTGGGGACAGTCTGAGGACCACTGGGGACATCTGGGGAGGTTCGGGGACAGTCTGGGGACAGCTTGAGATGGTTTGGGGCCACTTGGGGATGGTTTGGGGCCATCTGGGGCTGGTTTGGGAGTTCTTGCGGCTGGGTTGGGAGTTCTTGGGGCTGGTTGGTGCCGGTGACCCCTGGGACAGCTGGGGACATCTGGAGGACTCACGGGCCAACGCTGTATCCATCGTAGGTGGAGTCGTTGAGGACAACGGGCGCCGGGTCAAGGGCCATGACCTGTCCCCGTGGTGCCGTGTAGGACAGGAGCCCAGCTGGGGACAGGGGACCCATCACCACAGGGCCGCCACGGGGTTGGGTGAGGGACGTGGGGATGGGGGACCACCACCCCGAAGTCACCCCTGGGGGTGTAGGACAGGAGCCCGGCTGGGGACGGGGGACATGTCACCACGGGGCCACTGCGGGATTGGGTGAGGGATGTACGGATGGGGGACCACCACCCCACCGCCGGGGACCTCACCGGTCACCCCGTGCGATTTCTGGCTCCCCATGAGCCCCTGGGATCTCCCGAGGATCCCATTGCCCCCCGAGATCCCGTTGGCCTCCCAGGGATCCCCAGGAATCTCCCAGGGATCCTGACCCTCACCCGAGAATCTCAGTGTCCCCTCAGATCCCATTGACCTCCCGGCATCTCCCAGGCATCCCATTGTCCCCTGAGATCCCCAGGGATCCCCACAACCACCCCGAAATCCCAGTGTCCCCTCGGATCCCATTGACCTCCCGGCATCTCCCAAGCATCCCATTGTCCCCAGGGATCCCACTGCTCTCCCAGGGATCCCCAGAGATCCTCACCACCACCTCAAGATCCCAGTATCCCCAGGGATCCCACTGTTCTCCAGGGATCCCTAGGGATCCCCACCACCATCCCGGAATCCAGTGTTCCCAGGGATCCCATTGACCTCCCAGCATCTCCCAAGGATCCCATTGTCCCCCAAGATCCTGCTGCCCTCCCAGGGATCCCCAGGAGTGTCCCAGTCATCCCCAGCACCCCCTCGGGATCCCAGTGTCCCCAGGGATTTCATTGACCTTCCGGCATCTCCTAAGGATCCCATTGTCCCTCGAGATCCCACTGCTCACTCAGCGATCTCCAGGGATCCCTAGACCCACCCCAAAATCTCAGTGTCCCCAAGATCCCACTGTTCTCCAGGGATCCCTAGGAATCCCCAGCACCACCCCAGAATCCCAGTGTCCCCAGGGATCCCATTGACCCCCCGGGATCTCCCGAGGATCCCATTGTCCCCAGAGATCCCACTGCTCTCCCAGGGATCCCCAGAGATCCTCAACACCACCCTGGGATCCCAGTGTCCCCTCGGATCCCATTGACCTCCCGGCATCTCCCAAGCATCCCATTGTCCCGAGGGATCCCACTGCTCTCCAGGGATCCCCAGGGATCCCCAGCACCACCCCGAAATCTCAGTGTCTCCCAGGATCCCGTTGACCCCGCGAGGTGTCACGAGTATCCTGTTGTCCCCTGAGATCCCACTGCTCTCCCAGGGATCCCCAGAGATCCTCACCACCACCCCAGGATCCCTTTGTCCCCAGGGATCCCACTGTTCTCCAGGGATCCCTAAGGATCCCCAGCACCACCCCAGAATCCCAGTGTCCCCAGGGATCCCATTGACCTCCCAGCATCTGCCAAGGATCCCTTTGTCCCCTGAGATCCCACTGCCCTCCCAGGGATCCCCAGGGATCCCCACCACCAGCCCGGGATCCCAATGTCCCCCTGGATCCCACTGACCTCCCGGCATCTCCCAAGGATCCCACTGTCCCCCAAGATCCCCAGGGATCCCCAAAAATCCCCACCACTCCCCCGGGATCTCCGTGTTCCCATGGGTCCCCCAGGATCCCCTGCTGTCCCCTCCCCATCCCACCGCTTTCCCAGAGATCCCAGGGATCAGCATCTCAACGTCCCCAAGGAACCCCATGTCACCTTGGCACCTTGGCGTCCCCAAACTGTCCCCAAGGTGTCCCATGGCACCCCAACACCTCCAAGGTCCCCAAGATGTCACCAAGGTTCCTGATCACCTCAGCACCTCAACACCCTCAAGGTCCCCAAGATGTCCCCAGTGGCCTCAACACCCCAACATCCCCAAGGTCCCCAAGATGTCCTCAAGGTCCCTGATGATCTCAACATCCCAACATCTCCAAGATGTCCCCAAGGTCCCCAGTCACCTCAACACCCCAACATGCTCAAGGTCCCCAAGATGTCCCCAAGGTCCCTGATCACCTCAACAACCCAACATCCTCAAGGTCCCCAAGGTCCCCGATCACCTCAACATCCCAACATCTCCAAGGTCCTCAAGATGTCCCCAAGGTCCCTGATGACCTCAGCATCCTAACATCCCCAAGGTCCCAAATCACCCCAACATCTCCAAGGTCCCCAAGGTCCTTGGTCACCTCAGCACCCCAACATCCTCAGGGTCCCCAAGCTCCCCAGTAGCCTCAACACCCCACCATCCTCAAGGTCCCCAAGATATCCCCAAGGTCCCTGATGATCTCAATATCCCAAAATCGCCAAGGCCCCCATCACCCCAACATCCCCAAGGTCCCCAAGGTGTCCCCAAGGTCCCCAAGGTGTCCCCAAGGTCTCTGGTCACCTCAGTGCCCCATCGGTCCCGCCAGCGCAGCCAGCGGTGCCGGTCACGGCTGTAGCGCAGTCGGGAGGCCTGGGCGGCACCCCTGCCCGG